AGGAGGAGGGAGGAGGAGGAGGAGGAGGAGGAGGAGGAGGACGCAGGAGACAGGAGGAAGGAGAGAAGGAGGAGGAGGAGGAGGAGGAGGAGGAGGAGGAGGAGGAGGAGGAGGAGGAGGAGGAGGAGGAGGAGGAAGAGGAGGAGGAGGACGAGGAGGAGGACGAGGACGACGAGCCGACGGGTCCTCCCTGGTGTGGGCTGCCGTTTGAGCAACCCCGTACCCCTCCCCGACGTCGGCTGCGTTTTGCGTGCCCGGAGGCCGAGTAATTTGGCCCAGGGCAGCAGCAGAGATGCCCACACCTCTAACGGGTAGTCTGGCTGGCCGCCTCGGCCATTCCACTGCGGACTGGGGGCTGCCTGCTGCACCCCTGGTCGGCGGTGAATGGCCGAAGCTGCCAAACCAGCTCCCTCTTTCTTTGTGTTGCTGGGTGTTGTGCGGTTGTACGACGCTCCGCTACTCTGGTAACCTTGGTAACCCAGAAGAAGGAGGAGGAGGGGAGGAGGAGGATGAGGAGGCGGAGGAGAAGGATTGGCAGGAGGAAGAGGGGCGAGAGGAGGAAGAGGAGGAGGAGGAGGAGGAGGAGGAGGAGGAGGAGGAGGGGCAGTACGGGACAGGAGAGGACATGACGACACGGCCATTAGCGACAGTGTCAGGGGCAGGAGGAGGACGCCGTGGAGGAGAAGGCAGAGGAAAAGGAAGAGGAGCAGGAGGAGGACAAGGAGGAGGAGGAGGACGCGGAGGAGGGGGATGAGGACCAGAGTAAGCCCAAGATGCATCAACGATGCTGCAATCCACCCTCCCATCGCAAGTCCCCTCCTCAAAAGTGCCTAAAAGCCTTCCTGTGCACTACATGCAGAGCTCCCTTGAAAGACCACCGTTTTTTGGGTCTGCCATTCAGGTGGCAGCCCCGTTTTGCAATGAAACTTCCTTACATGTTCCTGGCGAATGATATTTCAGAATTGCAAAGATGTATAGTCATATACTTTAACGGTGGTTCCTGCGATATCCCCGTTTTGAAACAAGATCGTATCCGTGTTACTCTAGGTCAAATTTGCATTTCTGGTCATGAGCTTCGGAATCGAGAGCACTTCCTTGAACAGGAACTTCCCCCAATCGGTGCAGTTGTTACACCGCATGTTCAAGCTGATGGCTTTGAGAACGAGCCAGTCGTAAACGACACACCCGCTGTGGAAGTGGAGCCGTCCGCCATCTCGGTCGGTTAGTGTCGCATGCTTTTGAGACGACTATATGTGCACGGCGCTGGGGTGACTGTACCGCTTGCGAAAGGCGAGGCCGCACGGGCGCCGAGACGGGAACTCCACTTGCGAAGGCGGCCCCCATCCACCCTTGAAGAAGCTGCTTCAGGCTTTGAAGGCAGCTTTGCGCGATGCTACGACGAGCGCCCTGTTTTGAAAACGACCCCAGCCATCATGGCAGCTGCTGCAGCTCCCTCCTCCTCCTCCTCCCCGTCCTTTCTTCCTCTTCTTCCTCCCCCTTTTGAATGTGGTGACGTTTACCCGGCCGGTCACTTCGGAGCGTTGCCGCGTTGTTTCTGAGTGCTCGTCGTTGGGGTCGTTGATAGCCCTCTTGAGGGGAAGCGGATTTCATTCCCAGGCGTTTCACAAAAAAAAAAAAATGGTAGCTGTTGCAGCCGTTTAGCACAAATACCCGCGGCGCTTGTGCGAGAGCACCGTTTCGGAAACGGCCCCAGCCATCCTGGAAGTCTTGTGTTTTGTTCCAACCATCCTGTGGTGTTGGGTCCCCGTTTTGAGAGACAGCGCCCCGCGTTCACTTCTCCTCCTCCCTCCCCCGTAGCGGTGCCCACATGCGTCCGCGCCACCTATGTCGGCACAACCCTCACGCGTTCCGCGGCCCGAGAGGGAGCTCCACCGAAGGACCTGGTTGAGGTGCTCACATGCGTTCGCGCCATCCATGTGGGCACACCCCTCACACGTTTCGAGGCCCCATAGCGAGCTTCACCGAAGGCCCCAGTGGCGGTGCCCACATGCGTCCGCGCCACCCATTTCGGCACACCAGCTCCACCGAAGGCCCCCCCGGCGGTGCCCATATACCCCTCGCACGTTTCGTGGCCCCAGAGGGAACTCCACCGAAGGCCCCATTGGCAGTGCCCACATGCGTCGCGCCACTAATTTCGGCATACCCCTCGCACGTTTCGTGGCCCCATATGGAGCTCCATTGAAGGCCCCAGTGGCGGTGTCCACATGCGTCCGCGCCAACCATTTCGGCACACCCCTCACACGTTTCGTGGCCCCACAGGGAGCTCTACCGAAGGCCCCACCGGCGGTGGCCACATGCGCCCGCGCCACCCATTTCGGCACAGTTCTCACACGCTTCGTGGCCCCATCGCGAACTTCACCGCAAGTCCCAATGGCGGTGCCCACATGCGTCTGCGCTACCTAATGCGGCACACCCCTCATACGTTTCGTGGCCCCACAGGGAGCTCTACCGAAGGCCCCACCGGCGGTGCCCACATGCG